ATGCTTTTTAATTTCAATTATTTTTATAAGATATCTTTTCGAGAGAACCAAACCAGAAGTCATGTGATGAAATTTCAGCGAACAATGTTCGTCAAAAAATGGCAAGAAAAATTTTAAAAATTCTCGATCATATACGAGTTAATATACATCGATAATAATACAAAAAATAAATTCATGAAATATACATGCAAAGTAAACGCGATTATATATGCGAAATCAGCCACCAGTGCCAGGTTTATTAATATAAAAAAAAAATAAAAACAAAATACCAAATAAAGTATAAAAAGCTCTTATTGACCAAGATTATGTAAATTTACGATAATTCCATTCTAATATAATTTAGAATTTTTTTAGAATATATAAATGACTAAATTCCATCTTTAACGATTTCTTACCCGTAAAATCAACAAAGTATGAACAAATTCTTCTACCTCTTCAAGTGACTCATCGCAGAAGGGAATTTTCGCCTTAGCAATTGGCAAATAGTATTTTATACCCTTTTCTTGCACCAACCCATGAAGTATAAATTTCTTGTCTATATTAATAAAAAAAAATATTATTATATTGATGATATTCTAACAACAAATTATGAAACAAGTATATTATTACCTGCAATATTAACCCCAAATGCGATATAAACCTTTTTTAACCTTTCTTTCACAATTTCTTTATATCCATCCGAGCAAAGTTTCGCAAGCTTGTTATGATCATCACAAATTTTTTTATCATTGGAATCCCATTTCCCACTTTCCACATAAGCAACCTCATACTGCTTCCGTCTCAAAGATGCTATTATCATCAGATCGGGCTTATCTCCTCTTGAGCCACTTTCCTCTAACACCTTCTGATTCTTGCTAGCAATGCTCTGTTTTTCACCTCTAACCACATCAACGTTATATTCGAGTGGTAACTGGCACAAAGAAGCCTCGATTAAGTGAGCAATAGCTTCAACAAGAGAATTCTCTGACCCATCAGAAACTCGACGAAAGATATTCGATTTTATTTTTAGCAAAAGATCATCTGTTATATTTCTTGCTACTCGCTCTCTTTCATATTCTTGTTCAACCCAACGCGCATGGGTCACTTTCTCAGATGGCAATATCATAAACCTATAACGTTGCTTGATTTCGTTCCTCTTTGTAATGAAATTAGCGCATACTTGCCTTACCAAAGCACCTATGCTTAACCCCTTTATAGAACTCCTTTCACCCTATTCACGGAATATTAAATTTTTTAAACGATGGCAGTTCCTGTATAAAAAAAAAATATCACATAATGAAAAATGCATACCGCAAGAACATTCTGCTCTTCTTCTTTCAGAGAGAACCGGGGAGATCCGAGATCGACTATACTATTAACTAATGGATCATTACACAGCAATTTATCAACATCCGCATCACATAACATTTCAAAAAGATGAAAATGAGTTTGCGATTCATTTCGCAGATGCCGTAAAATTTCCTTCATGCTACCAATATTACATGTAGCTCGAGTTTTCCATTTCGGTTTGTCATGTTTAGGTCTGCATGATATTTATACGTTTGTTTATTACAATTTATGCATCATAAAGTATAGACAATTTATTCTACTCATTCGGTAAATTAACTCACCGGAATAAATCGGTATCTTTCATCAATGCATTAAGTTCTTTCCACATAAATTGTATCTTGGGTTTTAAAAAAAAAATTAGTTTTATTCGGAAAAATAAATAAATTATATATATTAAATAATGTATATCAGGTAATGGCCGGCCTATTATAACCAATTATAATTACAATAGTATAACAATGCAGATTATTGTCGGTAGCTCATCGCATCGAATGCGGAATACCACTTACTCCACACCATTACACTATTGTGAAAATCATCATATCTACGTTAAAAAATATTCATCTTCAAACGATAATAGATTACCTTCTCTATATCTTGCAATGACGTAAAATGTTGCTTGCGACTTTCATCAATATCTCCATCTGTTAACTCTTTCAAAATTTTTATAACATGCTCGCAATCCGCTTCTTCGGTATTTACTCCACAATCTTTCCAATATTTATGCAACACTCTGGATATTGTAATCTGGTTAAGAGGTTCAACTCTCAAAAAGCTTTGTAAAGTATTCATTTTTTTTTACGTATTTAAAAATGCATAACAAAAATTTAATATATATAAAAATATTAGAAGCGAATCACTAATAAGCGACAAATAACAGTAAATTTGAGATACTGCCCTTTTATATATTTTTCTTATTTCTTCCCTGAAACTCGAAATGTTAGATAGGTTAGACAGAAGCAAAAACATGCACTCTTACATCGAAAATTTCTAC